TTTTTTGTGGACCTGGCAGGAGTAGCAGCACTTATCTCCGAGAGAACAGCTCCAAGGGTTCATCAACTGACTCTGCTGCTCTTCACTCCAGTGAGGTCACTGTTAGGAGCAGCAGATTTTGGAAAGCAAATGGTCAGTCCCTCAACTATACTAGGAACAGCTGCACACAGCCCAGCCCCTCAAGCCAACGCCATATACATTTCCAAGCAAACCCTTGGCACTATGGGCATCCAGGTGAATGTGTGCTGGGATTTCTCTGCTGCAGCTCTGAAACACCACAGCAAAGGCAGGTTCCTCAGAGCTGACCCTGCGCACCAGGTGTGGGTGGCTCAACATGGCCCAAGCAGTGGCCAGAACAACCAGCCCTCCAGCCCAATAAATTTTTGATGCAGCAGAGAGAGAAGACCCATGGGGTTAGTGCTGTGTCTACACTGGTAGGATGCTATGATATCCCTGAGGCCTGCCTAGGAACTCCCAAAGCAGGCCTAGCTGTCCAGGCTGCCACTGGCTCAGGATGATTACACAAGTCCCCCAGATTTCTTGCATTCTTGTTTCAAAAGCAGTCGCTTGGCAAGCAAAATGCTGTGAAGAGCAGGGAAGTTATGTGGCACTGAACAGACAGGAAGTGACTGCCATCGCAGGGGTCACACAGACTGCACTTCACTCTGTGTTTCTCAGAGAACACCGAACTGCAAACCCTTGTGGTTTCCCCTTTCGCCAAGTGCCCTTGCTCTCAGGCATCCGATGGGGAGAGCTGTACAAGGCAAGGCGGCTGCACTGCATGGATCAGAGGGGCGGCATAGCAACAGATTATTAAAAAAAAGGAGGACTGCCCAGATTAACCTTTAATCCAGCCAACACATGCATGCAAAAGGACAAGCTGTTTCTGGTACCAGCCAGCCTCTGCAGCATTGGCAGAGGTAGGAAGACACAATCTCCAGAGTGAGCTTTCCTGTAACTCTGCACTGCAGTTTCTTACAACTTCACCTGACTCACTAGCTGCTGCCAGAAAGTAAGTGGCTGGCTGGAGTCCTGCTCTGATGCCATCACTCAACTCTAGCTTCCCTGGCTCAAGGCAAGCATGCTGACAGCAAGACCTAGCCATGCTGCCTTGAGCCACGACTGACTCAGGAAACGCACCCCATCCCCCCTCTGCTTTTGCTCCACATGCTTTTGTGATTGATGCCATAGCGGCATTCAGGTGCAGGGCTCACCTCCATATTACATCTACTAGAGGTATCTCAGACAGCCTCATTCTCTTGCCTAGGTACCTCAATAAACACCTGGCCTCCCCCTCCACAGGGGATGGAGTGGGACACACCTTGAGGGAGCAAGCAAGGCATCCAAATAGACTAAATGACATTTGGGGTTTACTCCATGGACTATCAGCATTTCCAGGATTCAGGCTCCTTGGCTAAGCCCTGGGGTGAGCCAGGGACCAAACTGTACTCAGGAGCAGCTGTGCTCCTGAAGAGGTCCCTGCAAGCCTTGCTGGCCAAACCATTGGAGGCGTTGGCTTGGAGGAGAGCTGCTGGCAAGCACTGCAGAGCATGCCTGGCAGCCTAGGCCTCACCTCAGACTCTCTCCATTCAAATTCATCTCATTCCAATGAGATGCAGGATATGGGACACACCAGCACTCTCCTGGTGCTGGCAGAGCTGTCCTGGCACTGCAGTCTTGTGCAAGGATGCAGAGAACTCCCTAAACTCAGAGCAACAGCCACCCTGTCACTGGTGGTCTCCTCTTCAAATTATAAATCATCAAAGACCAGTCATCCCAGGTCACCCCTAGGCAGTTCTAACTTACCCAGTTGGTTAAAAATTAATAAAAACCTGACCTCCTCCAATCAAAGTAATGAGTAATGTCAGAAACAGCCTTTTTCAGGCTCCATTCTTCATTGATCCTTCTTTACTGATCTTCATCACGCACATATACATGTCTTCCATTCTTTTTCCAGCTGCACTGCATGTTTATACACCAATAGATGTGACTGTTGAAAAATAATTCAGCTGTAGAATTAAAGCAAGGGAGGGTAAATGACCACACAAACATACCATGAGGTAAATGTCAGTTCTCATATTTAATATTTTAATAATTTTGTTTGCAACATTTACCACATAAATCATCTAAATAAATAGATGCTGTACAGTCTCTTATCCATTCAGTACAAAAATAAAACCACACTTTGTGTCAAATTATACTTGAGCCTGCCCTCCCTTTGCTATTACAATCTCCTTTTACAGCACACTCGCTCAGAAAAGGCATTATACTCTGATTTATTTGTTTGGAATTGGTTTACTCCCTATTTCCCCCCCTCCCCAAATACATTCAATTAGTCTGTACAAAAGCTAGAAGCTCATTCTGTGCAAAAGGAAGCTTTCTGTGTGCAAAGACTCCAATACTCTAGCGTGCTGATGGGAACAACAGCAACAACTGAAGAGACAGCAACAAAAATAATCAGGGACCCTCCCCTCTAACTGACCCCATTGTCCCCCATCCTCTCCCTACAACAGAAAGGGAGCACACCAAATTAGATGAGCGAGTGTGCAAAAGCGTTCTAAGGATGTGTGTACGCTGAGGGAAAAGGTTGGTACTGAAAACCCAGCAATAGAACTGGGGTGCTGACCCCCATGCTGTAGAGCTGACTAGGTGAGGGAAAAGCGTTCTCTGCCCTTAGCCTGCTCAAAAGGTTCTTCAGATACACAGAACAAAAGCTTCATGTAAATTATTTTAGTTCTTTTGTTGCTGTTCTGTTGGAGATGAGGTGAGGAAATGGCCTGTGGAAAAATCCAGCAGCTACTGAAGACAGCTCCTGGTTCACCCTCCCTTCCTCTCCCCACCCCCTGCAGAAGGATAGACATCTCCTCGTTCCTCAATTAAGCTAATAAGGTGCAATTTTTTCAGACAGGAAACTCTATAATGTCTCCGGAGCTGGAAGAAACGGTCTTAGTTCCAGACTAGGACCACTCAAACTGAAACTCAACTTCATTTTCCCCTTTCCTCGATCAAAGGAGGTGGGGAGGGAGGAAGCCAACCTGTGTCCCAAAAGCAAATGGGGCAGGTTTAGCAGGACTCCTCCCTTAGGGAACCCTCTGCTCCTGGCATGGTGGACTACACTCTCTCCTATGGGAGGGAGACATAGGGCTGGGTGGCAGCTCTGGAAAAATGATAAGGAGCAGCCAGCGGCCTGAAACAGATACATCTTTTGCTTTTCAAATGCCACTTTTAGACAGACGATAAGGAGTACTTAGCACTCCTAGTGCTTTGCATTTCCAAAGTGCTTCAAAACATACTTCAGATTTAAAAGCAAAAAAAAGCTGCTTAACATTTGACAGATTTGCAAAAAAGCTTCTTTGTGCTGACACTACATTTTCTGGTTGAAAACCAACAATAATAATAAAAAAAGGTTTTTCACCTCCTCCAAAATTCCCCTCCCAGCCAAAACTTTGCTACCTCAGTAATGAGATAAGCTGTGATGGAGGTTCCGAACAGTCTTAGGAATTCTACCCCATCCCAACTTTGTAGCAACCCATAGCAGCCCCAAATGCTCCCACGGAGCCCTGCACCTCTACCCTCCCAGTTAATCAGGGATCATTTCCCACCTGCTCTCTGCATTTCAAGAAGTTACAGGAAAAGAGAAAGAGGTGGAAGAGAAAAAGGGGTCATCTCTACAACAAATGCTAGTTACAGGAAAGGATTTGAAGGGTCTGAATTCCATTTTAAGTGATTGCTTCTCTCTCCTTCTAATGGTCCTGGGGCTGTTTTATGAGCCTTTCTATCTTGACCACCTTTGTGTGTGGAATCCAGGTGGTTTGACACCCAGAAGCTCACACTTTCTCTGTGAGAACAGTAAGTTCAGGCACAGGGCAATGTGGCCTGTTGATCATAAGCTATTATCTCAAAACAAGTTGATCACGCCCTTGGGGAAAACCTTTACAACAGGCAAAAAGCAATGTGTTCCAATGCTATACATTTTCATGGAGAAATTACCCTGTGCAAGTTGTCAACATACACATCTCCCTTGCATTCCCAAATGGCAGAACACTGATACATAAATGCAGCACTCGCCTCTCTGCAGGCCCATTCAGAACTCCACTCACAGATGCAAAAGATCAGTTTCACTACAAGTTCTTTGTTTATAACACACCTTCTCTCTCAACTGCCAGTTCACCCAAAGGCCTCTCCTCAACCACCTAGTGAGAGCAGCTCCGAGGCAACTCAGTCCCTCCCTTCCCTGACCAGTATATGTCCCTATTATTTTCCCAGAAAGGCCCACTGCGTCTTCTTCCTAGACTGCAGGTAAGCCAGGGAGGCAAAAGATGGCTAGATACCAATTCGCTTTAGAAAAGGAGGTTTTTGTACTTTCCCTACTTCTGAAAACAAAAGCTCAAAGCTTCAGAAGAAGAGGTGGAGAGGTGGTGGTAGACTTCCCTTTGCTTAAGACACAGATGTGGCTGGCAGCCCCCACTGTCTTCCGCACCCGGCCTCTGTTGTGGCTACCATGGAGGGACTTGCCTGAGCTACCCTGCCTATTTTTTGACCTGTGTGAGGCCTCCTTTCTCCATTCCAGTGAAACCATCAAGCAGCAATAGCTGGCTGAAACAGTACTGGGACCAAGGGCCCCTGTGAGGTGAACAAACAATTTTATACATCCAGTCACAAAACACCAGAACAATTCTGGACAGTTTCACAACACTAATAACAAAAACAGCCATTCATTTCTCAATAAGCTTCTCTATGTCTGAACTCTGACATAAACAAGAGTTAATTCACTAACAAATTTGAGCTTTTTTTGGCAAATGGAACTGCTTTTGGGTGTTCTCACAATAATATCCTGATCTTTCTTGGCAAAAAAAAAAAAGAGAAAAAAATCACCTTCGTCTAACTTCACAAGCAGAAGGGCCCCCAAGCAAATGCAAGACAATAAGGGGCATGCAGGAGGCTACTTAATGCCACTATTTAAGTGTTAAAACTTGCTCTTCCAAGGCATCACTTGTATATCAGAGCAATAACATCTAGTTTATAACCATCCAGGAACAGAGGCAGTCCTTTCCATATGGATTTTTTTTTAAACACAGTGTTAACAAAAAAAAGGCTTTCCAGTCTCATGAAGTCCCTCAGGTCTACCACATATACAGTGAATTCACTGCAAGATCTATAAAATAAACACTTCTGTCCCCCAACATTGCTGGTAAATTTTCACTTGGAAACAGTTCTAAGAATGACTATTAGAGCAGTTCTCTGAGAACTGTTGTTTCTTGTGCACAGTTCAGTAATTTCCACTGGCTGAAATTTATTTTTCTTGTTTACAGCCACGGAGCCAAACAAGGTATGGGAGAGTTAGCCCATTTCTATTCTTGGCTTGGGCTTCAAATAGAATTATTAAACTCAGCTTCAGCTGGATGCTATTCTGGCTCTTCTAATCAAACGGAATGCTTAACAAAGATCCAAACACAGCATCTGATTTTCATGATATGTTAGAACAGGAGGTCCCAATTCAATTGCCAGGTTTTGGGTTGAACTGGCATAGGACAGTATTGGGGAGAAGAGACAAACCCAGATAACCTGTCTTTCCATCACTGGCAAAACCCTCTCTACACCTGCAGAGGTGCAATAAAGCTAATTTTAAAGTCCCTGAAAACCAGCTCCACCAAGGAAGTTTACAGTGACATGTCAGCAGACAACGTGGAACAGAGCCACATTTTAAAAAGATCGGGAGAAAAATCTTCTCAAGAAGTTCTTTGAGATAAACAAGAATTCATGAATGTCAAAAAAAAAGTCCACGCCAACGAAGTAACTGCTTCGTTTCCTACCACAAACTCCTCTTCACACCCTCCCCTCCAATCCCACGCACATGCAGCTTGTTGTGTCTTAACCCCATTATGGTTAGCTCCTCACTGACACAAAGCAGCATGGCAGCCAGGTATTTTGTTCCACACTTCGTGTAGCAAGATGATTAGTCACTAGAGAACACTAGATAGCCTGATCCAAAAAAATGATTAAGATATGAAGCTGTGGGTGGATCCTCTTTGAAAGACCACCACAGGTCTCTCAAAACTCTACTGCAAGAGAAAGAAAATATGTTTAAAGAAAAATGCCAAAACAAAGTGTTGAGAAGTGTCAGCTGGAAAGTGGAGAGAAAAGCAGAGGATGGAAATCTAGTTTATTAGGACAAGTTCTTTCCTGCTGCAGGATTGATACTGCTTCCAAGGTCAGCCAAAGCCAGGAACTTAGTAAATAAGAAGCCTTTTTGGGTGCTTTTGTACACTGAGATGAAGACATGACAAAGGCAGCAGTTGCTGCATTAGAATAAAGAAACCAGATCCTATAAATGCCATTTAGCATTAGATTTAGCAGGATGAGCTGCAGTTCAAGACTTTTTTTTTTTAAATAAGCTAAAAAACTGCGCTTCTGCAACCATCACTACCTGCTCCAACCCACAGGAGTGGACCTGGCCATGTGTTGTGTCCACTGGCCACAACAGAAGAGAGATGCAGGTATTCAGCGTATCTGGCAGGTGTCAGGAAGAGGGGGTGTGTGGGTGAAGGTAACACCACCGTCTGACCCCACATCCTGCAAAAAAGGGTGCAACTCCAGACACAGAAGCCTCGCTCTGGACACCCACGTTCAACAAACATCCTGCGCCTGCACGCTTACCTCATCAGCTTGCCCTTGCTAGCTATTGCAAGCCTCTTTTTCACTCACTCTTCCTCCCACCACATAATTCCCCCCCAGCTTCCACTTCTCACCCTCTCAGATTTCTCCATGATAAAACTTCCATCTTACTCCTTTGAGAGACAAAAAGGTCAGCCCAGAAATTCAAGATCTTCCCAGCGATCCTGAAACTGCTCTGATGGCATGAAAGACAGACCTGCTCCCACAGTTCTGAGATGGAAGGGGAAATCCTAAATCTGCACTGAGCTGCCATATCCTAAATGAGGTAAAAACTGCTTCTAGTAAAAACCCACAGTGGTAGTCCAAGCACTTTATAATAAGTAGATGTTTGGAGGACCAGAAACCCTAGAGCTCCCAAATTCTGCAGGCCAGGAGCCAAGCCCCTCCAACAAACACACTGAGGATTTCCACAGGTGTCTTTATCTCAGAGCTAAGAAGGCTCATAGCTTCATTTTGAATAAATACAGCAGATAACAGATGTTTCAGGTGGGGTGGAGTAAGGAAACAGAATTTGAGGACAGTAATCATGACAGTAGCCAATGTTACCCTGCAGCACTCTGTCCTGCAGTTCCCACTTCAGACTACCTTACTTTTTTTGCTTTCCATTGGAAAAGGTCTATATTTTAAAAATTAAGTTATTTAAATAAAATTTGCTTTTAAAAATGGAAGAGAACATGCATGTGCAGAACAGATACTATGCTATACCAATTCAAAATACAGCAATTCTTCAAAAACCTCAAAGTGTCACAGGCAGTCCAGCACAAGGCATTTTTAAGTGCAAGATTAGGCAGGTCTATTGAAATGCAGACCGCTTTCCTTGGCAAAGATTTTTAAGCCTTCCAAGGGGAAGTTCCTATCAGTAAAGTAGTACAGGATCACAGATACTGTGAGGATACTGGAGTCATGGAAGAGTATCACTCAGGCAGCACAATCCAAGAATTCTCATTGCTAAGAATTAGGAATTTTTCCCCTCCTTAAATCTAATACATGCCTTCCCCGCATGTTGTTTATTTTGGATCTCTCTATGGAATCTAAGAACAGAATTTGCTGCTAATCAAGGTCCATTTCTAGCTCAGTTCTGTCCAATTCCTGTGTCCTGGGCCTGTGCCACTATCTTTGATATCTCTGCAGTGCCAGGCAATGCTTCAGTTGTCCTACTAGTTCCTCCTCCCAGGGGAGAGGAGTCGGTTTTCAACCAACTTATTACCACAGATTCAGGGCAGGATTTGTTATTAATACTGAATTTGGCAAAGGGTAAGAAGACCCCACTTTCCGTAACGCATTCCTCACGCAGCAGAGCCAAGCCTGGAAATCCTGTTTAGCATATACAGGATGGCGTGTCTCAACTATGCTGGCTTTCTGAGCTTTTAATAAGGGCAAATTGAATTTATGTTGCCAATTTGGATTTCAGAGATGCATTTCAGCCTTTCCACATGATCAACAATCAAAGAGAGAAAGCTCTGCTGTCTACATGGACCCGTCCTGCAAAGACTGACTTACCACAGACAGGTAAATACGCTTCTGAAGTCCTGACAACAGGCCACAGGGGAAACAGCACTGGAAAGTCTTAACAGGCTGGAGTTATCTATACAGGTAGAATCCATCGCCTCTCACTGCTGCAGGAAGAGAGGGAGGAGGAAGGTGGGAAGAGCAATGCACAGAGATGTATCTTTATCCGAGGGATATCAATTGCAGAACAAGGCAGCAGGCTAGAGATCCAGCTCTCTTTCCACCTCCGCATGCCCTCTCCCCACAAATGCAGCTGCCGCCACTTAAAAGGATAAAAGGCGAATTGTTCAGCTTGCTGCTTTCACATCAAGGAGGGGAGTCTTTGCCAGGGAAAGGGCTGTCAGTTTTTCAGCTGGACAAAGCAATGACAAACACACACCCCTACACTGCCCTTTTTTGCGTATCTGAAAGGGGAAAAAGGAGAAAAAAAAAGGTCTCTGTAAACATTTTTAAGAGGAGACATTTTGGATTTTTTTTTTTCTCTTAAGGGATAATGTAACCCTTCCCTAGCCCCACCCTAAAAGCACAGGTTTTGGGGAGCACTGCAAACAGAGATTCAGAACTGTGCACTCCGGTCTCGAAAGAAGCCCTCAGCCACTTGTGCTTCTCTGAAAGTGACGGTAATGGAGTTTGCCGTGATGTCTGTCACTGTCACTTCGCTGGGGGGCACAGTGGGGATCCAAGGGAGACTGGCATCCACATCTGCTGCAGAAACAAAGGCACATAAGAGCATATTAGTGAAACAGAGAAGGTGAGGAAGAAGAAAGGAGGAAGGGAAGAGGGAAAGGAAGGATGGAAAAAGGGTCTCCTTTCTGACAAACTGTAGGTGAAATCGGCCTGTACTGAATCTGCACTTACAGAGCAAGAAAGAACATGTGCAAGCCCTACCCTCAGAAGCTAAGGGAAAACGGAGGATCAGGTGTCCAGATACACAGTGGTATCAGAGCAGCTTACGTAGAAGTCAAAAGACCCTGTAAAACCACCGAGTTCATCTACCCATCCACAGTTCCCCCCATACCTCTCATCCCATCTCAGCTCCTAATTTGGTTGTGTGTCAGCAAAGCACACTCACCCCGGTTTGAGCTCACTGTCTTCTAAACGCCCTACCCTTCTGTAAAGGCAAAAATTAAGTATCTCTTGCACACACTCTTCAGATACTCCTAGGGGAGTCAAAGGGAGCCAAAACGGAGGGTCTGCCTTGTACTACACCTGCAACGCAGCCTGGGTGTGATGCTCTCAAAAATCCCTCAGTAGCGCTCCATGGACAAGCTGCTCTCCCTTTCTCATATGCCTCCTTTGCTCCTAGACAGCTCCATACAAGAAACCCAAGCACCCCTGCACTTTCTCACTGTAAGAATAATCATCAGCCCCTCTGCTGCCCAAAGGCTCACTTCCCCACAGCTCCCAGAGACTGCCTTGTGAAGAGAGAGGAAGGAAAACACACCCTCTCCCTGTCACTCTACCAATACAACAAGGTATATACCTTGCTGTCCCAACCTGGGCAAATAGAACCCCTTAAGAGTGTATTTCCTGGCTTCTGTCTCAAACACCTGAGGTGTCTACATTCCTCCCAGAAAGAATCCAACCCCGCCTAACAGTAACTGGGATTCCACACAGGCCGTGTGTCAAGGGGAGAACAAAAACTATTTTACAATTCTGCTACTCGCTCTTCTGATCTCCAAGTACTTTAGTGTCGCAGATTTCTGGGGAGAATAGCCCCACACGTTTCCTCACTGCCAGGATGTAACACTGGGCTTCTCTGTGCTACTCCCATTGCTGCCTCCCTGGATTCTGAGCACCATTCCAGACTCTGTCAGAAAGGAGGGAATAGCGCTGATTTCCAGAACACAGCCCTCTCCCTAAGATCCCGGCTAATCCAGCCTGGCTAACAGCTACTCCTAGCAAGGAGTAACAGGATTTCCTTAGCTACTACAAGCAGCACAAGCCCCGGTTTTCCACTCCTCAGGAAAGCTACGCCTTCAGAAGCTCTAATAATGCAGGGATAGAGTTTCCCTGGTAACTGAGAGCAACACATACATCCCACAGCCCTCCTGCACAAGATGCTGGTATCCTTCCCCAATATGCCAAATGTGCTTGGACATCTCCCATGCCTACACTCATGCTGCCTACTCAGTGGGATCAGGCAGGAGCTACCATCCTCACTTTATCTCTCTCTCCCCTTTCTTGCATAGTTCAATAGCAAGAGGCTGCAGAGGGGAGTGGAGAAGAAAGGAAAGGAGGGGACCGTGGAGTACATTGTGAGTTCCTAACAGCATTTCCGTATGGTTCTTAAAGCAGCACTATGAGAGCAGTGCTGCTGTCCAAGCTTATCCACTGCCAGCCAAAGTCCTCTGACCCAGCAGACTGTGCACATGTGAATAATGTTGACAGAGGCAGAGCTCATCTTCTCACACTTGTGTGTCATCTCTACTGGGAGGAAATTTTAAGAGAGGAAAAACTTGCAGTATCTTCTGCATGTTTTCTAACACTGGGAGGGGCATCAGGGATGTAAGACTACAGAGAGGCAACAGGACCAAAAAACCAAATTATCTGTGCTCTTCAAACAAGAAAGAAACCTGCAAACAAGAGAGACATAATATGGGCCAGCAAAGGCTGCCCTGAACACCTGATCTAAACCACAATCCCAAGAGGACGTAACCAAGGTGGAAGGATGCAGAATATCCTTCACATGCCCCAGAACTTCATCAAAGGGCGACTGGCCTTACCTTCTTTGCTGGTGTGCTGCGTGGCCTCCCAGTCCTCAGGGCTCTGCCTGGCCTCTAGGCTCACTGCATCATTCAGGAAGAACTCATGCCTGCAGTTGCGATTCTCCAGACTCGCCATGCGCGGGAACTTCTTCCTTGACAGTCGTAGGTACTTCTGGTTTTTGCGTTGCTTCCGGAGAGAGAATGGCAGGACTGCACCCCCAGTCTTCTCAGGGAACTCTGCCTGCCCTGTCTTGGCCCCTGGCAGGCTACTGTCTCCTCCTCCAAACCTCCGTGCAAGAGAGAAGCAGAGCTTCTCCTTCCCCTTGTGAGCACTCCTCAAGTCCATGCCATACAGCCGCTGCCAAGACACCAACGCAGCAAGGGTCAGAGCAGACATCTGATCATGCAGTCAGGGCTCCCCACTGGGAACTAGGAAAATATTCTTTGCTCAGTCTCTGAACATCTAGATGAGCTAAGATAAGGTGTGCTGCTTTGACAGCACCGTTTCTCTCCCCTCTTCAACTGCCTTCTAAGCTCTTCCTAAAATCTGCTTCCTAGGATTGGCTGCTTTGCTTGGCAGCAGTAAAAGCATGCTGAAACGCTGCTTCCAACCATGGGCTACCTTTGACTTGATGGAAAGTCCAACCTCAACATGAAGTTAAAAACACAAACCAGGTAACCTGCAACTACCCAGGCCCACACTTTATAAGATCCTAGTTCGGAGAGAAAGAGCTGTTGTTTTACTTTGTTTGGTTTTTTTAAAGACGAATTAGCTAGCTCTTCAGCTAAAAGGTTAAAACTAGCTGCCTAAACACTGATTTCATGATTCCATGTTACTGTGTTAAACTTATTACCTCCAATTTTGTCCATGCAACAGCAAACAGACAGTTTCCACCTCACTGAGAACAGGGGAGCAGCACAGCAGCTAAGGAGTTAGAAATACACAGAAGAGCAAGAGGCTACCTGCAGTAGGAGGCGCTTTGGTTTGGGACCTCTTTTCCTGTACCCTGATGCACGGTCTCTCTCTTCCCTGTGAAAGAGGAATACAAATCAAACTGAGTACTAAATACCACAGCATAAAACCTAGTTGGGACTTCAACCTTTTGCAGCCTAACTCCCTCAATTTCCTTCAATAAAACCCAATGGTGACTAGTGTGAGCTTGGAAAACATGCCAGAATTGCTTCCTCTAGGAGTGAAAACCTTGCAATAGGGGAATTTCTCTGACACAGCTAAACAAGGATGGTTTAGAGAAACCACCTCCCATCACTCCAGTCCAGCTTTGGACCTGATTAGAACCCGAATCTGATTGTTCTCTGACTCAGTGCTACCTTTTCTTGGCCTCATTTCCTGAACAGTGCCAATCAAAGCTGCTTTAACCCTGTCTTCTCCATCTCAGTCAACACCAGGATACAAAAATCAAGCAGGATTTATTGCTGTACATCTCATCTTCAACTGAAGTAGGGACAACAGGGGAACTTTATGCATATAATGAAATAAAGACACCATTTCTTTTCCTGCATCCAGGGAGTGAAAAAACATGTGCCCTTACTTTTCTTCATAAGCCACTACCAGGCGAGGGTCCAAGATATGATCCTCTGGCTCCCATGTGCTGTATCTGAAGAAAAACATAAGGAATAAAAAGTAAACAGTATTTTAATGAAACATTTTTTCTGCAGGCTTGCTACCAGTGTGCTGCAGCCCTGGATACTGTCTTCACAAGGGTCGGTGGGGCCTGCCACAACATGGCAAGAGCTCTGAGGAATCCCAGCCATTCCCTTCCCAGCTTCCCACAGACACCACCTCCCCTTCCCAAAACAGGCAGGGCCAAGCATCAAGCGGCTCTTTGTACAAAAACAGAGAACACTTTCCTCCCCAGGGCCCCCTCCACATTGTGTGCAAAGCCAGTGCAGACACTCACAAACTGTTAAGTCCATGCCTACACAGGTCTCATCTGCAGCACTCCCTCAAATCCCACAAACCCCATGGAACAATCAGGCAATGGTCTGATACATCTTTCTGAAAAATAGGTCTCTCTTAATTTAGAGTGCTTGAAGAGTAAGTACGCTTTCTCACCTGCATTATTAATTACTTCTAATCACTGAAGCTGAAAGGATTCATTTAAGAGTTTAATTTTTTCCACTGATGCCGTTCAACCAAACATGTTGGGAGTTGGGCCCTGGGGCAAGCTGATGGCCACTTGCCAACGCCTCCTCCTCCTGCTCGGCTCCCCCTACAGGTTGTTCCTATCGAGTGGAGCTCATCTATAAAAAGTGCCCCAACTACACTGAGGGCAGGGCCACCAACTGCTCCGAGCTTCATGCTCCCAAAGCAGCTCGGGAACAGCGCCACTCACTGCCCCAGCTCCCCCCTCCACAGGCAGACAGCTGTGACAGGAATCAGATGCTCAGGACTGAACCCACCTAGCAGGCAACTCCAAAACTGGTTCTCAAAGTGCACAGATGCACTTAACACAAGGGAGAAGCAGCCAAAATGATGAAAGAATCACTAAGTGGTCCTTGGGGCACGTTTACTTCTTAGGGGTCACCCTTGCCCAGAAAAGGTGGGTGTTGTGTCTCTACCATACAAACTCTAAGGCAAGAAAGCAAATCTGAATCCTCAGAATCCGAATTTTCCCTAAATGTGAGATCCAGGCATGGAGGCAGAGCTCCTCTCAGACTCTGGGGAGGAGGAGCAGAGAAGAGTCACATGCAGGTGCATAAGGGTGCATTTGTATTATTGCCTTTAAACAGCAAGAAAGCATTTTAGGATGTTTACATTTCTGGACGAAGCACAGACTGCATGCGAGGACACAGGATGCATGGGGTACACAGGGGAGATGGTTTGGGAATGCTTTTCCCTTTTATCTCTCCATTAGAGAGAAGAAAGGTAGTGTAATACAGGAATATTACTGGAGGGTGGGTCTGGAAATGAAAATACAATTCTTTTACAAAAGGGAGAAACAAAAATATGACATTCAGATATCCCAAGGTGCACTGTGCATCAGAGAGTTAAGAACAGACATGTCTTCATAACCAGCTGATCCCTCCCTCTCTCCCCCCCTCCTTTGCTCATGCCTCCTGCAGCAACCTGACTGTGAGCTGTCAAAGCAAAGATACTGTTTGAAAAGAGGAAGGTTGCCTCCCAGCTGCAGGGATTCTGGAACGCATCCTACAAATTTAAGAAAAATAACACCACAAGGAGGAAAAAAGTCATTGGATTGCTTTTCATAGGCAGGAGAAGAAAAGGGATTTGCTTTTTAAAAAAAAAAACACCCTGGTGGGCGTTGCCTTCTTCTCTGCAGTTCAGATTCTGGCTTCGCTGCAGTGGCAAAACACTGCATATAAAAAAAACATGGTTGAGTTTGCCACGCACGCGCGCACACGGAGCTTTATATATGGGTACACACAGCCCAGGCTGCAGCAAACTGCAGAGAGCAGGCACTCTGGAAGACACAGATCATATGATCTTCCTTCCCCCTCCTGCTACTCCTCCTCTTCCCCCTCCTTTTAACTCCAACACAAGTTGTAAACAAGCTTGTAGCTAGAATCAGATTGTCACTCCTCCATTCCCTGACTCCAGCAGAGCAATCCATAAATCTGAGGTCTAGGGCATGAATAAGAATTTTTTATTAAGAAGAGGGGAAAAAAAGTGAAATATTAATTGTATGTGACATCAGTAAACTACTGACCGATCCTTATTCCCTTCCATGATACTTCCAATGGGAACGATGGGATAATAGGTACAGAGATTACAAAGAGCAATGCAACAAAGTTGGTAATTAAGGAAGGGAATGATGTGGGATGAGGAAACAGACACAAAGATATAAACAGCTTGGGGTGCTGCATGCCATCACGGGCATATGTATGTTTAGAAACAAGGAACAGACACTGCTAATGGGATGAAAGTGACTCCAATGCTCTGAGCATCTTGAGTTAAAGTAATTCAAGTCAAAGTAATTCAAGGTAACATTTAAAGTGGAGGCAGGCAAGAGGAAAAAAAAAATCAACAGTCTTCTGATTTGGAGTTTAGGGGAAAAGGGAAGATGCTTGGACATGCCATACATCAAAATAAGAGAACCATGACATCACCTTGCACCTAGGGGAACTGTACTTTAAATTCCCCAAAGTGCTTCTGTCTCCCTCAGTGTTCCAAGGCACAGGACAAGGAAAGACAGCAGTTAAGAATAAGGCCCGTTCTGTCCAAGAAACATTACGCCATGCCTCAGCCCACCTTCTTGGCAAGGCACTTTATAAGAGAAGGGCTTCAATGCATTTGTTGAAATGAGAATGGGATAAACATCAGTATTCTGGCCAAGAGGGGATGAGGCCTCACAGGCCTCGAATACACTTCCCACCCTCTATCAGTGATGAAGTAAGACTTGGCTATTTGAGGCTGAAGCAGTCCAAGAAGTGACCCACACTACATGGCAGCTGGTGCTCAACAAGTGCACAGGGTTGCTCTCTGACAGCAGAACACTCAAGAATAAAGTCACCCTCTCCCACTAGAGAGGGGAAGCAGCTTATCTTCACACATGGCCTATAATCATAAGGATTAGGCATGACAATTAGGCACCCAAGAAGACGTTTCAGCTTCTTGGACAGTGGGTACAGCCTGACAGAACCATCCTGGCGGGCTCCACTTTGCAGCTGCAAGGATGAACCTGTAACAAGCGGCTCCCTCTGCTTAGCAACACGCAGAGCAACTGCGTGTGTAACACTGCTGTACCCACGCACATTGTGTATGTACACACACAGGCACAAACAGAAAAGCAAAGACAGGGCCCCATATGGGTTGGCCAGGAGGCTGTTCTACTAGACTGCTAGCTGACATAGTAATATTCTCCAGTTACCTAATCCTTTTAATCTCAAAGCATTTCACAGACTGCTTAAGTACAGAGAAATCGCTCTTCTTCAGAAGCAGCTGCATTTTAATGAGAGAAGTGTCCGTAAACAGTGCACAGCAATGCCAAAAAACCTCCAAACTTTTCTTCCTTTTTTGCAATGGAGCAACCAAAGCAAAAGCAGAAAAGGCACTCAAAATAACAGGAGGTCTCAGACAAGGAAATGAAGGCATGGCGGTAATTTTCGAGGGACAAAGATCACCTGCATTTGGCTACAATCAATAAATCTGAAACATTGACCCTTTCCGTTGATGAACTGCAGAGGGGAAGCAGTAGGAGAGGAAGACAAGACCATCAACATGTTTTCTATTTTAAAAGACTGCAGACAGCTCTAAAAATAAAGTGGGGTCCTCTTGGTGGTGACTCAGAAAAGCAGGAACCATTCCAAGTTCAGAAGAATCTGGGTTCTTTGTTGAACTCATAAGGAATTTAAAAACATTTGTATCTAGAAAGTGTCTCAATGAAATATTTCAGTGGTGGCAAAAACCAGTCAGAATAGACTGGCATGCAGTTTGTATTCCTTAGCTGCCAATTCACAAACAGATTTGGGTTTGGTTTGTGGCTCTTTGGTTTTGTTTATTGTTGTTGAAATGAGGAACAAGCCATTACCCATTATGAATTAAATGCTCACTTGCAGAGACACGGGGCAAGCTATTATGGAATATTAAAGAAAAAACACAACTTACTTCGGGGGCCATCCTTTCCACTTCACCAGGTATTCTACTTTACCCTGAGGGTGGAAAAAGGCAGAAGAAAACAGGTGAACTATGGAACCAAATATGGGCTACAGGACAAAATGCAACCAATCAACAGACTGAACTCTGCAACCAAAAAGCTCGTTTCCCATCACTTTATTTTCAAAACATAGCCACTTCCCCATTCAATTACACTTGCTATACCTTTTTCTTCAAAAATTTGGCACACAGGGGTGTTTAAGCATGCTTGTATTACCTTCAGCTTGGAGCATAGCTTTGCAGAAGGCTTGCAGGCAGAGCACTAAAAGCCAACCAGAGAGCAAGACCGAACCATTCACACATTCACAGGCAAACCTACAAGAAGTCAGCACACATAAATGCAGGAAGGAGATGTATGCCAGGAGCAAATGTCAGATGAATTTTTTTTTTAAGCAGAGAGAAGAAACACAGTATATCAGAACCTATGAAGCATCTCTGGCATGTTCTTTTTCATTTGCTATATGCTCTACTCAAACATTGCTCCATCCATCACACGCACTCATCCTTATGACCCAAGCAATCAGCAGCTCACAGCTGAAGTTCAGAGCTACCTTTTGTTGTTACTCTAAGTACAAGATTAAAAAAAAAAAAAGTGTAGTGATTGGAAACTGCATTCAACTGCAAGCAATGTGAATAACTATCAAAATATTTAATGCTATTACTGAGGGGTTTGTTAAGCACTTCCAAAGCATGGCAAAGGCCTTTGTGCATGCAGGACGACCACTCTCCAAGAGCCGCTGCAGCAGCCACAGACACCTTTACAGGAGAGCAGAGGAAGGAAAGCACTGGGATATTTGAGGCAGAATTTCATTTTCCTCTTGGGGGGCTCATCAGCTTCCCAAGGCTGGAAAACACTGCCCTATAAGGAACTTTCCACCGAAGGATCTCTACACACCGCATGCTTACAGGTTAATCCTTGCAACACTCTGCGGGGACGGGAGCACTTCCACGGCTAGGAAAACTGAGTCACGGGAGCTTCCCCAAACCCTCTCCGGTTCGGGCTCTCCCGTTTGGTGTCACCAGCACTCATCCTGCAGGCGGGCCGAACCCCAGCAGCGACAGCCCCCCCCGGCCCCGCACCACCTCACGGGCAACACGTGTGTCCCCGCGCGCAGCCTCGGGCAGGTGCCGGTGCCCCCGCGGCTGTCAGGGGACAGGGACCGGGGGACGGCGACGGGGACCGGGCAGCCGCGCGCGCACCCACCACGCCTCCCCGCTCCCGGTGCGCGGCGGGAGGGGCGGGGGGTGTCCCGGTGCGCTCCCCCCGCCCCGCCCTGCTCCGCTCCGCCGCTGCCCACCTTCCGCACGCGCTTCTTGCGGATGCTCTCCACGGCGAACACCTGCTCGCCGATGGCCGACAGCTCCATGCGGGCAAGCGGGCGGGCGGGCCGAGGCTGTGCCGGTGGCGGCCGTTCCCCGCCGCTGCCCCTCACACGCCCCCTCGCGCGCGGCCGCGCCCCCGCCGCCGCTTTAGAACCTGCGCAACGTTTTCCCCGGCGCGCGCGCGAGGGGGCGGGAGCGGGGGGTGAGGGAGGGAAGGAGGGAGGGAAGGAAGGAAGGAAGGAGGCGGGAGCGGCGCCTCAGGCTATTCCCGCCCCCTCAGGCTATTCCCGCCCTCTCAAGCCGTTCCCGCCCCCTCAGGCCGTTCCCGCCCCCTCAGGCCGTTCCCGCCCCCTCAGGCCGTTCACGCCCCGGCCTCAGGCCGTTCACGCCCCGGCTTCACCGCCTCCCGCCGGGGCAGCGCCGTGAGGGAGCGCTGCCCGCCGTAAACGCCGCGGCATTCACGGGTATTTTCCACAGGAGCGCGGCCTCCGGCTGTCCCATGGCGGCGGCGGCTGGGGAAGCGGCGAGCGGCAGAGCGCGGAGACGAGAGCCCGGCGCGGCTCCTCTGCCCGGGCCGCCGCTCGCTGCAGGTGCCTCAGCGCCAGGTGCCTGCCATGGGCCACCGCTGAGGGGAAGGAAGCAGCCGAGATTCGTCAATGCTCGCGGTGGAAAGCAGCGGCGAAAATCTAAGGGCCCGCCAACGATCAGAAAGTTTTACTAGTAAATTATACACTTGGCATGGGAATTGGCGTGATAGTCCCTGATCTACTGTATAAGCACACGGCAGTGGGTTTTGGAAAAAGGGGTAAGACGAGAAGGAAGAGAGGAAAGATGTATTAAAGGGCGTGGGGGGATGCAGGACAGGGGGGAGAGAGAGAGGAAGAAAGGAAGGGAGAAAGAAAGAGAGAGAGAAAGAAAGAAAGAAAGAAATGAAAAGAAAAGAAAGGAAAGAAAGAAATTAAAAGAAAAGAAAGAAAGAAAGAAATGAAAAGAAAAGAAAGGAAAGAAAGAAATTAAAAGAAAAGAAAGAAAAGAAAAGAAAAGAAAAGAAAAGAAAAGAAAAGAGGATCACCAGTCCTGATTCCAGTGTCAATCCAGCTGATGGGATGTCAGTCCTGGTTTCAGCATCGATCCAGTTGGTAATCCTGGTTTCAGCGTCGAGCCAGCTGCATCCATGCAGCCGATGAGATGTCCAGGGTCCTGGGGGTGCCTCTGTGCTTCTACCAGCGCCAAGAGGCTCTGTGGACATAGCACATGTGTAGCTATGGAGCAAGCGGGACCTCAGGCCACCTCTTCAAGGCAGCTAAGGCTTTCTTGGGTGAGGTATGAGAAAACAGGGACATCATGAGCAGGCATTCAGGTATCCAGGCTCCATTGCACACCAGTCTGCAGAACCGTGCTTTTGCTTCCCAACCACTGCTACAAACTACAGATCGAGGGTTTTTTCATTAAAGTCTCCTAAGAAACTTTTTATATCAGAGCAGGGACTTATTTGTACATATGCATACACCTACTCTCTCACAAATGTGCTCAGTTGCTCCTCTGCTGTGACTGAATGTCACTGGGTGCTGTTTGCAAGCCAAGTCTGGCTAAACCTGACTGTAGAAATGGCAAATACACGATGAGAATGTGTTCATCTCAGTCGTTTAGTCTGCAAGTGCTCATTTGCACACAACACACTGTGTCCACAGGTATGGGTTGGGTAACTGGCAGGGTGCTTACCCTTGCTGAAGCCATCTAAGAACTTAAAGTCCACTGTCAGGGAATGGTGACCCTTTGGATAATCATTAGGCAGAACTAGCAGTTTACAACAGAGTTTTGGTACTTTAATACCATAGCTGTTGCATATTCAAGACGTTTCTACTATATTACAAAATTATTTTTAATAATAATAATAATAATAATAATAATAATAATAATAATAATAATAATAATAATAATAATAAAAGCTTTTATCTTTTTAATTCTTCCTTTGTCATATTCTGTATCTGTGTTTTAGAGGGAATAGGGAAAATATTTAAGGCAAAATTTTCTTTGTTTCTCAAAATTAAGACCTTCAGAAAAAGCAGACACAAAAGAAGAACAGAACATTTCTCCGAATTGCAAGGATCTGCCGGTATTCCTTTTCCTCACATTGGAATCCACTTGCTGAGGTGTCAGACTGGAAGAAGGAAGAAACCGTGCTCCGACGACATGTTAGGATAAAATAAAAGAAAGAAAGAAAGAAAGAAACCCTCTAGTCACAACAAACTTTCAGGTATTATTATTTCAATTATTGATAAACTTTGTACTTCTTAGTCCAAGATGTTTACAACTCGTTATTTAATATATGTCTCCTTAAGGTCAAAAATGCAAATATATATATTAACTTTGTTAATGGATACCAAAGGAGTTCTCAAAACCAAATTGACCTGCATTTTGATCACAAGCTCTAATACTCTTCTTATAAACCGATATATATAGTAAGAACCCACATGCTTGGTATTATCAGTGTAATTTCCATGCGAGTATTCCCTTCTTTCATTCTGCTTTTCCCACACCAGCAACTGACCCAAGAGAGGTTTAAGCAATGTTTACACCAGTTATGTCACAGCTTTCAGAAAAGCACTCCTTTGCCTGAAAGTGCTTGTCACAAAATGCTAGAGCAGCTCACTGCAGTCTGGTCAGGGTTTTGGTTGGCTTGGCATTTATTTTGCAACATTTTGGACAAAATGTTACCTCTAAAAGCTGTTCCACCATAGTTACTTTTCATTCTACTAATGGTTATAATGTAATTTCAGTAGCCTTTGTTTTTGTTTTTGTTTTTTTTTTCTTTCACTTTGGTAACCAAAACCTGAGCACTAAAGGCAAAGAGCAGGAACATTTCCCATCCTCCCACCCCATCCAAATTCTGAATTTCCGTTAAGCGAATGGTACTAAGCCATTCGTTTGGGCTAGAAATAATTAAGACAAACAACTTAATCAATCAAGGTTTTCAGATCTTACAGCCTGCTTTAGCAGTACTTTAAAAGCCATTCTGTGGCAAAAGACCTTTTCTGAAGTATATCAAGAACTAGATTACAGAAATCTTTATTGGAGTTGTTCTTGTTACCACTAATTGTACAGTCGTGCTAATATATAGCTGTGAACTCCATGTGCAGAAAACCAAAGCAAATATTGAACCTTCCTTAGTACAAATTCAGAGACCCAGATCCAGGAGGCTTTAATCAAAATTCCAATTAACTTCAAAGAGTTTTACTTGAGTAAAAATTGCAAGCAGAATCTAGTACAGAAAAAAATTACCATTTTAATTGCTGCTAGCCTGATTAAGCGATTCAGCTTCCAGTTGATACAAGCACTTACATTAACACTAAAAATTTATTAATGGTCATTTATATTCTACAAAGCCTAATCCTGCCAAAGATTTTTTTTTTTTTCCCTAGAAGACTGCAGCAAAGATCAGCATAGCTTCAAAACCACGCAGCACATCCCCGAAGAGACGCTGCTTGGTGAAGCTTCAGGAAAGGACCTTGCAGCAGAAGCCAGCCCTGGCAGCTCCGCAATGTCCTGGGGCTGGCAGCCCCGAGGAGCCGGACGGTCGATGCCGGGTGCAAGGTATCGCTGAGCCGGTGGGCGAACCGGCCTCTCCCACTGCGGGGCTGCGTGTCTAATGAGCAGTTTGTAACGAGCAGTTTGTAATGAGCGGTGGATGGCTCTCATCCTGCTGCCCTGCAAGCACAGGTCCGGTTCGTTTGCACACCGCGGTTTCGGCAGGCAGCCTCCAAACACATGGCAGGAGTGAAGAGCAATATACAGGTACAGTCGGAGCTGCTCTGGCCCCGGGGAGCAGCCCCGTCTGCCCCATGGAAGCATGGAAGGCACACGCAGGATGCACCGAGTACCACCCAAGGGCAACAGAAAAACTACACTGTCTGTAATGCTCACATCAATTAGTATTTTTAATGTTTCTTAAAATGTGTGGAAGGAATGCAGCTGCCCCCTCTGCTGCCAGCTGGCAACTCCTCGGCTTACCCGGCGCCTTGGCACCAGTAGCCAGCAAATAGTGTGTTTAAATCTGTGCTGCTGCGTGCTCCTCACCTGGCTCTGATCTGCTCCCAGCACAAGGATTTCTCTACACTGGATGACCAGTGAGCCCCAGCCCAAAGCAGTGCTCTGCCTCCGTGTGTTACACAGCAGACACAAGGAAAACAAAACGTGGAAGTCCCCCAGCCTTGCCAAAGGAGATCATTCTAGAGAGCAGAGGAAAAGTCATCTGGCCCAAGCAGAGGCCCCCCCTGAAAGCTCTGTTTGAGGTCTGTCATGAAGAGAAATATTTTCTGTGTCATTTTGTTTCCATCTGTAAGCACTTTTTGCCCAGCATAGGGTTTCTCCACCCCTTACACACACAGCATACAGCACAGCTGTTAACTGCAGCCTTCCATCCTCTTTAGATGTGAGCACCCAGCTCTTCTCTTTAAATGTGGCCATGTCTTGGATGCACATCAAAGGCCCTTAGAGGACCATTTTAGTGAGATGGTAAACCAGAATCCCAGATTGCGTTCCTCTCAATCCAACACAGCTGGCACTTTAGTATTAGATGGTGGGCAGCTGTTTTCCTCTGCACGCTGTCTCAGAGCCAGGTGTGGCTGGGAACTGCCAGGTTAATGTTTCTTCCCAAAGTTCCTTGAAGAGCTCAGCTACTTCCCAGAGCAGGATCAGTGCAAAAAATAGCAGCTATGGCTTTTTGCAAATGCCGCTGGAAGAGGATTTGTTGTTTTTCTACCTTTTAAATGATAGCTCAGCAATTATTGCACAAACACAGTAATGTTGATCATCAAGATCCTGTCCCTCCTCTGTCTTCAGAGCCATAAAATCCCACCTTCTGGAAGACTGCCCCCAAACACCAGAGCAAGAGCTTGGTCTTTTTCAAGAGCAAGAAATACATACTCACCCACTGAATCACGTGCTCAGTGCAAGACAAATTCAGAGTTCACTGAGCCATGGAGCAGCTATGGCATGGTCCTTTTCCTGGGCAAGATGAGATTTGTATCCCAGCCACTGCTCCTGGCTGTGTGTAATGTCATCCAGTGCCTGACTCATGCAAAAATTCCTAAACATATCCTAGTGGAGGTACTAAAACACAGATTTCTGCTTTCCAAGATAAACACT